ACCACTCAAAAACACAAAGACCATTCTTAGCTTGCAAGCCATACAAATGGTCAGATTTAGTCCATGGTCTATAGTTAGCCAAGTCCTGGTCTAGACATTAATAGTGACTGTATAATTAACTGCTTTTTGTTTAAAGTGCTCAAAAGGAAAACACCTGAGATTATGCAAAGCTTAATGAGGAGACATAGCCTGGTGTGAAGGATCAAAAAAGTCTTTCCCAGGAACGTGAATTTTTGGCTGAAACATCAGATAACCAGCCAAAGGCCAGGGAGAAAGAAAGGCTTACTAAACAAGTAAATAGCCTTACCAAAAAAAAAAACAAAAAAAAAACAAGTAAATAGCCTGGGCAAAACAGGTTAGCACATGACTGAGCAAAGAACCTGTGAGGCTCAATCAGTACAAAGAATAAAGACAAGCCTGGAATACGATGACACTGCACCAAGGTAGGGACCAGCCCACAAGGGGTCTTAGTGGACAGCCTAAAGAGTTTTCTTTGTCTAAGAGCAAGACATTGGTGTTATTTGGTGAAGCAGAGATACTGAAAAAGACTGGGAGGGGGCAACTTTGAGTTCAGTCTCAGTTCTTGTGTTGTTAGTACCTATTTGCAGTACATAATGACTACACACAGCATAGGGAGTTGATACAGTACACGTATATAACAGCTCCCACTTCTTTCTGTCTCCTTCCTCTCCCCTCCCTCTTGGTCCCCTTTCCTCTCCTGTTATTGTAATGTGACCATTACTTCTGTTTCAGTTATAGATAGGCTGAATTGAGTTGCTTGTACAATGTTCTGTTCTAGTGTCATTTGGTTGCTTGTAAGTAAAGGAGCAGAGGCCAGGACAAGGTTTGTTTCAACTCACTAACTCAGTTTGGGAACTGTCAGCACACAGACTAACTGAAACTATGGGAAGAAATCAAACCACCTAGAAGGATAACGAACAGTTGTTCTCAACCTCGGGAGCACACAAGAATCACCAATGGAACTTATTAAAAAAAATTTGATGCTTACCTAGGTTCCACTCTCAGATTCTGTAGCTCCATTTAAAAAGTGAGCTACAATTTAAGACTTAGGAACTATGTATGGGAACAAAAAAAAAAAGAAACACACAACTCAGATTCAGAAACCTGAACCAAAGTTTAGATCTATCAGTAGATCTGACTTCAACAGATATCTTATTCTCCAAGTCTCAATTTCTTTAGTACTAAATGGAAGTAAAATCAACTTTGTATTTAGTTATTGTAGAGACTAAAATGTGAAAATGGATGTGAAAAATAGTTACATACAAAGAATTATCATTTCTACATTATTTTTCAGCCAACTTTGACAGAATTAATTTTTTATTTACATATTTTGAGGAATGGCTTCTCTACACTAACAGCACAGTGTTCAGAAAAAAAGAAAAAAAGTCTTCCTGCCATGATTTTCTTCTGAAGAACTTAGTATTTGTTGACAATTCCCACTATACTCTTCAAGTTTTTTACCATTTGGACCTCAAATTCCACAAAGCAGGTGTAGACTACAGAACTATTGAACTTCTGTAAAGCAATTAACAATTAAGGCAAATGTTAACCATTATTTGCGAACCACAGCTGAGGTCTTTATTACTCTCAAAAAAAAAGAAGTGAGAGGTAGTAAAAAACAGTTCAATATACAGCCCTCAGTGTGAAGACCAGGGGTCAAGATAGCAGATTTCTAAAATGAGACAGGCACAGGGCAGTTTGTTCGACCAAAAAGGGTCTCCATCTCTTACTTTCTAAGGTTAGAACTGAAAGACATAGGACTTCACTTACAAAATCTCCTGGCCTCCAAAGCGCCGCTGTGAGAAATAATGATCTACCCATTAACGACAAAGACTTACGACAATTCGCTAAGTAATCTTGCAAAAGCCTCTTTCATTTAAACTGGTTTGTCAATGGGAAAGAACATTTAATAAATCTGAAGATTTACAAGTGAACTCTGAAGTTTAACATTACAAGAATAGAAATTATGTCAGGTTATAACAGAAGAAACGAATTATGGAAAGATGGGAATAAATTTTAAGAGTCTTAGGGAGGATTAGTGCTGTAAAAAGAAACTCAAGACATTCTTACTTTTATATTCCTTTGAAAAAGACTTGTAGGCAAAGGCTAACATGCAATGGCTTGTTTTGAGCAGTTACAAAACAACTTGTAATGGTCACTTAAAAAACTCAGTCATGTAAAAAAACCCAAGACACTTAAAATTCTTAGACTGACACACTGTACCTGATACAGCACAAATGATTTTGCTAGTAGTTTGTTCCATTTAGCAAGGAAATATTATTACAGAATGTTACGCATTTAAAACTTTAAATCCTAAAACAAGGTAATTATTTTGATACGAATTTATGATACCCAGACTGCCAAGAAAATGAAAATAAGTAGCAGACTACAAGAGATGGGAGTCAGAAAGATCATAAACTTTTTATAAGCATTTACAACATAACAAGAGATTATGAGGGAAAATAAAGTATATTTCAAAAGTGAATCCCCCCCCC